GTGAAGTTGGGTTATCCAATCAAAATTCATCAAAGTCACGTGAAGTTGGGTTATCCAATCAAAATTCATCAAAGTCACGTGATACAAATGTTTTTTAAAGGTTATAGTAAAACTACGATATCATCTTTGTACAACATGGATCACGAGAAGACCAACTATGACATCATTGTCTCGATACTTGAATGGATTGTCAGAGGAAAACGCGAAGTATGTTATATTATCCTTATTTTACTTTTTCCCCCTCTTTTTCCCGTTTCTTCCGTATCTTAGAGTAAAAACCAACATTCTCTTTTGATTTTTTAAGCACCCCAATAGTGGGGCCATCCTGGTGTTTTTGTCTGGAATGGCTGAAATTACGACATTGCTAGAACAGCTGAATACCAATATACTCTTTAAAGATAAGGGCAAGTGAGTGATTATTAACTAGATGAATATTACTTTTGTCACTCGATGTTGTCTTGTTGTCAGACCAAACATAGATTTTAGCGGAACCCTTTTGGCTGATCAAAAGAAGGGCGTGCATATAGCTAACTCACAGATCGAAATAAAATTTAGGGTTTTACGTTTTGCGGAGACGGGAAGGAAAACAGGTAAACTTGGAGAAAAAACACCTTGAATCAAGAGAGAGACTTAACAAAAGTCTACTCACATGCGATGCTGAGTCCAGGAACCAGACCCGAGACCCCAGAAGTCAAAGGCGATCGAGCCTAGCTCTACCGCTACGTCACCCTTGTTGTTGCTGATATTTTCCTTGTAAAATAGATGCCATGTTGTTTGCTAACTCAGTTTTATATTCATACGACGATTATATTTTTGTTCGCTCTCAATTTTTTAATGTTTTACCAGGTTTCTTATCCTTCCTCTGCATTCAACGCTGTCCAGCGAAGAACAAGGACTCATCTTTAAGTAAGTCTAACAAGTGACCAATCAACACACGTGATTTTTCCCGCCTTATTGAACACCAAAATGTAAAAGTTTAGATAGGTTTTTAACTAACCATTTCGAATTAACCGACTTGCAGGAGGCCAAAGGAAGGAGTCACGAAAATAGTTTTATCGACAAATATCGCAGAGACGTCTGTTACCATTGACGACATTGTCTACGTCATTGATTGTGGGAAAATGAAGGAAAAYAGGTCAGTCTTGTTTTAACACTTTAGAAACTTTCTACATAGAGAAAATGAAATCTCTTGTCATGTCATAGAAAAAGCTCAAAGCAAGCCACTTTACTTGTTGTTTTTTTTTTGTTTTTTGTTTTGTTTTTTTTTTGTACGAAATTCCTCAGAATTTCCAGAAAATTAATTACCTCGTGTTATTCTGACACAGATATGATTCCAGTAAAGGAATGGAGAGTCTCGAGGAGACCTGGGTTTCCCGCGCAAATGCACGTCAGCGTCGCGGACGAGCCGGGAGAGTTACATCCGGGGTTTGTTTTCATTTATTCACGAGTCATCGCTACGAACACGTGATGGCTGAGCACCAGATACCTGGTTAGTAAAACCTGTTTAAAACTGGTTATGGATCATGTTTAAGCACTTATTGGTTTTCACTCGTTTATATCTATTTTCTGTGTTTTTTTTCCTGTTAACTATTTGTACGATTTTTTTTTGGTTTTGCTCTTTGACAGAAATAATGCGAATACCTTTAGAAAAACTTTGTTTGCGTATCAAGATTATGACTTTGTTCTTTGGACGTGACGTAAAGGTAAACAAAAACATTTTCAATATTTTCAGATTTTTTTGATTCCTTACCTGATAATGTGTTTTTATTTTACAGCAAATCCTGAACAAACTTTTGGAGCCCCCCGAAGATAAATCTATCACAGATGCGTTGGCTAGGTTACACAGCCTTGGTGCTCTTGACACTCAAGAGGTTGGTCATGAGATCTCAAAGAAATATTATGCATTATTCACACTTGCTTACACAGGCTTTTGAATAGGATATATGTGCTGCTTGTCAGCCTGTGGTAACTTAGTCCAGAGCTGGACCCATTCTTATCGATGCGCGCGCGGCGGAGATGAACCGAGTAGCGGAAAATAGACTGGTAAGAATTGTTTTCTTTGCGCGTGCGCGGTATCAATTTTTATTTTTGAGATATGAATTAATCAGTTAGTGAGAAAAGTGGCTCCTGTTCTTGACTAGTGCCGGGTTAAGTTACGCTGCCTGTCATGTTCTTTCATCAAGGTGTGAGTTCATTCTTTAAAGCAATTAGCAAATCCTTTTTGATCAATAGAATCTGACGTCATTGGGGTATCACCTGGCAGCTTTACCTGTGGACGTAAGGTATGCATATTTTCCTTACTTGAACGATTTATTTTTTAAACTCAGCTTGCTAAACCGTCATCGTACTGATGAAATTAGACAAATCGAAAATGTTTGATCCTGCTGAATGTGATTGCACTCTTGCTTGTGCTTGCTGTGAGCCTGTTGACTCTTGCGCTTGTGTTTGTGTCACTGCAGTAGGGAAAACAAGAAAAAGTGGCGGTGCGGGAGGGATTGGGAGAGGAAGGAAGGAATAGAGAGGGAGGAAGGGAGAGGGAGGAAGGGAGAGGGAGGAAGGGAGAGGGAGGAAGGGAGAGGGAGGAAGGGAGAGGGAGGGAGGGAAGAGGGAGGAGGGAGGGAGGGAGGGAGGGAGGGAGGGAGGGAGGGAGGTAAGGAATGAGGGGGACAGAAAAATGTCAGCTGGTTATCACAGCCATACAACTGTAAATTTTGTCTTTTGTGGTTTTTGAACCAGAATTGGCAAGCTGATGTTACTTGGAGCCATATTTTGCTGTGTTGATCCAGTACTAACCATCGCAGCTTCTCTCAGTTATAAATCTCCATTTGTAAGTAAAAATTCTGTACGACGCTGTTCATCTTTCAAATTATCTTTTTGCTTGGATTTTCTTTGTTATTGATCGAGGCTCATCTAAATGAGAAGAGTTGTTCTGTGAGACAATCGGCGTTGCGCTGCAAATGCGTGGCATCTCACCGCTTTGATCGTAAGTTCGCGGACATGCCATCAAAAAGTTACTCTTTGTTTTCTCCTGTGCTTCAAGGGATTTCCTCCGGGTTTTCCGGCTTCTCCGATTTTCCCAACACCAAACAATCATGGAACGAGAGCTGCAGTTTGTCATATATAGACCTCTCCGAGCTTGCGCGTTTTATTCTTAATAAGCCTTTTCATAGTTTAAGAATCGATTCCACTGCGCATGCGATTTTATCCCGAATTTCTCACCTTCTTTTGTCTAAACCTTCTTTTGTTCTTAATTAAACAAAAGAAGGTGAAAAATTCGGGATCAAATCGCATGCGCAGTGGAATCGATTCTTAAACTATGAAAAGGCTTATTCTAATTTACTTGGACATGAGCTTAATAGATCACATTACCTCATATTAATACACCTCATCAAATTATACTCAACCAATGACTCATCACCAGACATCGGAGAACATTTTGCACAAACTTAGACACCGTTTTGAAAAATCCATACAGGTCGCACCATTTGATAAGCGTGATGAAGCAGACAAAAAGAAGAAAGAGTTCAGTACTGGCTACAGTGATCATCTTACACTTTTAAAAGCTTACAAGAAGTGGCTTGAAGAGATGGCTAGAGGCGCGAAGTTTGGTTATCGCTTTTGTCAAGACAATTTTCTTTCCATGAAGACGTTACAGGTTAGCTTTCAGGACAGTAAGAAGCGATTTTCGATATCAAAATTCACCCGAAAGGACACTTTTCAAAATTGTCATGAATGCAAGGATAACATGGAAGTACGAAAGAAATGCCACAAATGCCATCGAGAAAAAGTGGGATTCCTTTCGTATTTTCGTGTTAGCTTCGCGTCCACGATAATTTTGAGAAGGGTCCATTTAATGTCACAAAGGTTTTCACCATGGAACGAAATCGTCAAGCGTCTTTCTTTTAATTTCGGAAAGGCTTGAAACGTGAAAGGAGAGGTCGATTAATGGATAAGTTTGACAGTAAAGTCCAAACTATATAGTATATACCATATATGCGTGAAAAAGCTAACTAACAAAATTGTAGAAATTAGTGCAAAGTTTTGTAGGTTTACGGTCTACTGAGGTCTACCGAACTTACTAATTGAGTAAAATTGTGCAATATCTTACAAATTATTTCACGGATATAAGAGATGCACTCTATCATTCGGTAATTTGTGGACCGTTTTTTTTTTTTTGTCCTTTGTGATTGGTTTATTTGATAAACAAAAATAATGTTGAAGGGGATGGCGTGCTTTCTGTAATGGAAAAACATTGCTACGATAATAAAAACGATAATACTCAAGGGAATGGCATGTGGTTACTAATTCTGTTTTTGTCTTCAGATGATAGCCAGTCTCAAGTGTCAGTTTGCCGAATTACTTGCAGACATTGGTTTTCTACAGACTAAAATGACTTCAAGGCAATTGGAAAGACTCTCGCCACGAACAGGAGATGGAGTACTAAATGGAACAGGTCCCGTGGTAAAGAAAATGATTTTTTTTTTGTCATTTTTCGCTGAACACGAATTTTGCACACTACGCATACAGGTATCCCAACTCTGTTTCTTTTTTTATATTTGTTATCCAGGTTAATTCCAATGCTGACAACTTGAAACTGTTGTTGGGAGTCCTGTGTGGTGCTCTGTATCCTAATGTAGTACATATAGTGAAACCTGCTACGAAGTATAAAGCTTCCAGTGGAGGTAAGACAGTAGCGTTTGTACGAGTGGGCTTCCTGTGTGGTGCTCACAAAACCTGCCAACTATAGAGGATTTGTTGGGGTTCCTTTGTAAAACCTTGTAAGACAATGTTATACGCTAAACACTCTTCCTAAACATATGATAACTAGTGCCAAGAGGTTGAGCCCTTTTTGGTTTCTATGTATCTTTCGATACCAGATTCCTCTCTACTTCACGACCACAGGAAACCTGGCGCTGAAGAAACTGAGAATTTTAGTTTACTCAGCTTTCTTTGTTAATTTTTTCAGGTGCTATTCCGTTAGAGCCAAAGGCAAATGAAATAAAGTTCTGGACTAAAAACGAAGGCCAGGTGAGTCATTCATTCCAAAGCTCTGGCCACTGTTTCTCTTAAACCTGCATCAGCCTTGCGCGACAGACCAATCTAAAGTATTTACCCTAAAAACCAATTTTCCTTTGAAACTTTGTCAATTTAGAACTTATATATGAAAGGAGTTATTGTTGTTTGTTATTTTCTTTATTCGTAAAGTGGCGAGGGTTTGAGGAAGTAGGCGCTTTGGTTGATGATTCATTCATTCATCCATCCATCTGTCTATGCATCCATCCATTTACCATTCGTTCATTCGTTCGTTCGTTCGTTCATTCGTTCATTCATTGATTCATTGAATGATCGATAGATTTTAACATATCCCCAAATTCACCTGGTATTTTTCTTGCTACTCGCAGGTCTTTATACACCCCAAGTCTGTCAATTTTGATGTCAACTATTTTGAAAGTCCTTATCTGATTTACCACGAGAAAGTCAAGACTTCAAAGGTTTGTATACTCTTCAAAATAACCAATCTAAAAAAATGGTTCACGTGCTTAGCGTACATCACCGAGTTATGGGTGTGAGGGGAAGTGTAAAGCTCTGGTCAAACGTCGAACTTCACATGAGCCGAACCTAATTGAAACAATGAATAACAAGGCTGTCTTCTTTGTTGTCACTTTGTTCGACTCATGTGAAGTTCCACGTTTGACCTAAGCCTTGGAGTTGCACGAGGCGTTTTTCTTAATGAAAATCTGTTTTATTTCCAGGTGTTTATCCGTGATACAAGTATGGTTTCTGTGTACGCGCTGTTACTATTTTGCGGAGATTCGTTGAGTCTAGACCTGGAGAAAGGTGCGTTGGTCATCTCCATCGATGATGGATGGGTGCGCTTTACAGCATCGTCACAGAAGGTAAGGCAATGCTTTTCATCATGTTCACCTCTCGGGTCCTTCAGTCAAACATGGGAGTTAAAGTGCACCCAAGATAACCAACAGACAGATTGTAATAGTTTTTGGAACCTTCTCCCTTTCCTTCCTCATTTTATATTGCCATCCTACCATCCCTTTCCCATCCATCTCATCCTCCCATTCGGTCCCTTCTCCCACTCTCTTTGGATGAAGTATAACCAGACTTACTTACTCAACAATGACAGTCTAGCTTATTAGGCGGGACGTCAAGTGTATGGAAAAACGACTTCCGGGTCAAAACGAAGAGCCGAGTTCTATAAAGATGTTTCTTTGTCTTCTTTCTTCACCACAGGATTTTTCGTCCAAAGTTCTAATTGTCTTAGGTGGAGGATAAATAAGTGAGAACATTTATCGCATTATTTTGGCGGTTTTTGTGAGCAGTTTGACAAGGAAGTCTAAGAGGGACCAAAAAAAAAAAATCAGTTTATAACTTTTTTCTCCTTTTTTTTCCAGATCGCGACGTTGGTTCGTGATTTGCGTGGCGAGCTAGACCGTCTATTAGCTGAAAAAATCGAATCACCGAGTTTAGACCTTATCACTTGCCCACGTGGTAGCCGTATTATCGATACTATTGGTCGTTTGATAGCCAACCAGTAGAAAGATCGTATCCTAAGTAAAGACATTTTGCCATCCACACTAAAACTATGAAAAAACCCCCAGATACGATCGAAATTGCAATATCGTCATCTGCGCATGCGAAAGACAGACATATACCCCATTCACACCAAGGCTTAAACATGCTTTAAAGTGGTTTAACTAAACAGGTTTGGAAAACTATCTACGAACACTGCACAATATTTGGTGAAATAATGCATGTAAGCTATCCTTTGCTTGCTCTGACAATATTTTAGAAAGTTTCATTATATTGTAGGTTCGTCCAGTTTCTCAATTTTTTTCCTAATTAAAACATAGTTTAACTAAACACGTTTAGGTGTGAATGGGGTAATAGAATACTAGAATAGAATGAAATAAAATAAAATGAAATGGAATATTAATACAATTTTATTAAAACCTAGTTAGCAGCATCAGGTGAATTATGTGTAACTTTACACACAAATGCACACAAATACATAGCTTTGAATTATATAAAAAGTGTTTTTCCTGACATATTAGCATACCTAAATACACTGAGCTGTTTTAAAGAGAGTTAGTAAAGATTTTGTTGCATCTTGCTCGTTGCTATGGGCGATGCGAATCAGTGAAAGGTCACAATATGAAATTTTCCCAAACTTTTTCAGCTGCACATTTTTCCGACATAGCTTCTTCTAATATGATACATTCAAGCTTAGTAAGCAGCAGCATTCCACAAAACCTTCACCAATCTTTTCTGAAACAACTGTATAAGATTGAATTATTTCTCATTGTAATTCTTCTTAGTAAAAATACACAGGTGATTATTGAAAATCTCGCGTGCTGATCTTGGTCGAGAAACTCACACTATCACACGATAATCACCTCCAGCGATGATAATAATAATAATAATAAACTCTATATTTACCGAGGGTAACACTAAATAGCAATATGCTAACAAACCTGTGACCCTCTAATATATTAAACTATAAAGATATGTGTAGAAAATTATAAAATTATAACTACAAGATAAAAACCCCTACACGAAAAAAAAACCAAACTAATAGTTAATAATTATTATTGAATGAAAAAAAAAAAAGATAGTAAATATAAAATAATATCTAAAAATAGCTATAAAAAAACAACAAAACAATAATAATAGAATGAACTAAATCATACTATGAAATGATTTAAAGTTTTTTGATTGTCTAAGAAATAATTAATAATTTTTTAAAGAGCTTTTAAAGGTAGTCAAAGAATCCAAAATCCAAAATGGCGGCCAGCCACTTTGTTGCTGTTACCGGAGAGCAATTAGAAATAATGAAAGAAAATGCTGTCCCAAAAGGACTAAAGAGGCTGACAAATTTGCACTAACTTCGTTCAAAGGTAAAAAAGGACAAAAACAATCAAATAAACTCAAACAAACTGTTTTGATTCGCAAAGTCGGAGTTCGCCTGTGTTGTAATTGAAAGCCGCGTTTGTCACTTCAATTAAAATTTTTCCTAATTTCAAATGTTTTTATCTTATTATTAAATCTTTTTTCTTATATTTTTCTTTTTTTTGAAAGAATCACCTGTGTATTTATACTAAGACAATTATTTGCCTCAGCCTCAGTGAATATCGGAGAATATTTACCTCGCCGCTCGAAGACTCATGTCTCGGCAAACATTCCCCAATATTTGCAAACATCTGTTATTGTCTTTTCGTCTCTGGACTTTCTGTGGAAGATTTCAGAAGAGGGAGACTGAGAACAGGGGAACGTTTGTTTCTCTCCCTGCCAAATCAAAGACACAGGTAGCCCAACAATAGAAAAATACAGAACAGAGATTCCTGCAAAGGAGGCTGGCTACATTGAATAATAATAGCAACATTCTATTTCTTAATGAGTGTCAGAAATTCTTCACGGGATTTGGGGTCTTCGCGTAATACACCTAACATACAACTAGTGAGTGTCTTGCTGTCGGTCTTCTGGACTCCCCTCATTACCATGCACATATGCCTGAAAAACATTCATGTGTCAAATTCATTCCTTTGGGGGAGGGGGTTGGGTGGGAGTACCTGTGATAAACAAGCATCAATGCACCTTCATCATCCGGCAGCCATGTTGACTGGAACAATGTGTGCCTCGCATTCATGGCTTCAGGATAAGGTTATGCATGTTAAAATAAATGTTTTTTTTCATTCACATGGGTACATGGTGTTGTGTGATAAAGGTCCAATGTTTCATACTTAGGGATACTTTTATGATAGAGGGAATTTTATTGCCAATTTCTCGGCTAGAGAAATTGTTAGATAAATGTTTTCGCCAGCTAAATTCAAATTATAGACCAAATTACCTTAGGTATGAAATTTTTTATTTAATAATATTTTTAAATGAGCAGGCTATGTGAACATGCAAGTCTCCTTTGGTCTGATACATCTTGTACAATAAATAATACTTTATTGTGGTACTATTAACATAATGAGACATGTATCGCCTCAGGGTCTGCATGGCTTTTAGAAATGAAGAATTTTATTCAAAATTTAAGACAGACTAGAAAAGAAAGATAATGGGCATAGGGCAGTATTAACGCCATCCATATCTATCACCTTTTATGAGAGTATTTTCCAGTACTTACGTGGCCTCTATGACAACCCCGACTCCTGCAGGATTAACAGCATTGACTACAGCACAAGCAATCTCTTTAGTGAGTCGTTCCTGCACTAAAGAATTCAAAGCACTAAATTTCAAAAAACTCATGAATTAATTCAAAAAAAGAAGGGGAAAAATCAAAATTATTAATAAATGAATTTTCATCTAAATTTGCGTGAAAAAAAAAAATTTGGGTTTCTAATAAACAACTTTGGAACACGTTTGAAATAAAAACCGTGCATGAATGCATGCTGTGTGCAATGATAAACCAAGGGGGTGTTGGCAGAACAGAGAAGTGTTATTAGAGCTGAATATTACATAATACCTTGAAGTCTTCTACTGAACATTTCCACAACTCTAGAGTAGAAATATTCAAATTTTAAATTTTAGTCAAAGACTCACTGCTCGGGAAATATTCACTGATAAACACAAAAATCAAAATGAAAAATGTTCAAGGTTGGATTTTGATATTTATAATGAGATTATGCCTTTCACATTACCTTCCTAATTTACTCAGACCAACAATTTTTTTGTTTGGTATATATCCTATATGTACCTAGGAATATAAAAGGCATCAATAATAGGTATAAATTAAAGCAGGGGAGGGTTTATAGACTTAAAGTAATGATTTATGTTAATGGTCCCTAATAAGTTAGCACACAGTGACAAAGGTCAGCCAAAACATACAGGCTGCCGACACAAGCTTGATTAAGCATAAAATTATAGATTGAGTATGTTGTGCGTAGGCATCATAGCTATCATATATTAGTTATATAATTGTTTAAGTATTCAACCAACCTTTCCCATAAAAGGGACAAGATGATGCTCACACAGAGAATAGAAATCAATGTCTTTAACAACAACTAGTTCGTCATGATCTTCATCAAATATAGCATCATTGAGAACCTCTGAAAACCAAGTTAGAAATCAAGATTAATGGGGAATATTTGCCCTAAATTTTGCAGGTCTTAACAATAATGATTTCAAAAACAAACAAACAAACAAACAAAAATAATAGCGAACCTGTTAGATTCTGGGTGTATCCATTAGTAAAAAATAACATGGCTTTTGCTGCTCTACTTGGTGTTTTCAAAAGGCCTTGTCTTTTATATTGCTTGCCTTCAACGCCTTCAAGAATCGTTTCGAAGGCTGCTTCCATCGTGTTCAGTCGGCGTTCCTCTGACGCAAAATCTATTGGACGTTTATCAACAACAGGTACATCGGACATGTTCAACCCTATCTCTCTTACTGGTTTATCCTCTTGCTGCTCTAGGTTTTTATCACTATTATCCATATTTATAAAAGGTTATACGTAGTAAACGTGTTGCAATCTTGAGAAGCTAAATGTGCCGTATAAGGCAAGAAGCAGTAGGCATTCCCCGCAAGTCATCAGGCGCGCATGGCATTGTGAATAATAAGCACTGGTCAGGAGTCAAAAAAACTCTTAAGGAAGCACTTAAGAAACGGGTCCATATCATGTTCTTTATCATGATATGTGTGGAAAAAGGAACCAATTATCGGTTCCCTATATCATGAGCCTTTTACTCATAAAAATATGAATTCATTGCATTTTAGAGTATGTTAAATTATTGACCAGTATCATTTAGGTGATTTATATATCGAATATGCGGATAACATCACAGGTAGCCCAAGCTTGGTTTCTGTGGTGTCCTGTTATAAGGAAATGTATGCGGAATCATCAAAAATTTCAATAAAATCATCAAAACGTGAAATAAAG